AATTATGTCATTCTCTTTTAATAATGTCCCATTTTTCTTAGCCTAAATTCCTATTTGCTTAATTCATTCACATACACTTTCATGACCTGGCCTTTGCCTACTGGCTTTATTTCTTCCTGTTGCTTTCCTTGGTAAGCTCGAAGACACAGCCCATGTTATTCTTTCTGTTTGTAAAATTATATATATATATATATATATATATATATATACACACACATACATATATTTATATTTATATTATATTATATATAATATATTTTATGTTATATAATATGTGTATCAGAGCTAACAAGAGTGGAGAGGGAATTCCAACAGATAATTTACTTGACTCTAAACCTGAGCTATTGGATTCCCAGCAATGCTGCCTATTAATTATTCATTGTATTCATTCTTCTTGAGTGCCCACCATGTTATAAGCACTTTTCTGAGCACTGAGAAAGCAATGGTGAACAAGCTGAAAAAAGAATTTGGACAACACAGTGTAAGGAGTATAAAAGACAAATGAACAAGCAGTTATTGAGAGGTAAGTACTATAACCAGGGGAGTGCATGAGAGACAGATGACCAGTTATGGGGACAGGGAGTGGCTGGAGATCATATCAATATCTATCTATTATCTATCTACCTACGTATCTACCTATCTATATATTTATCTAATAACATGTTAGTAAAGTGCTGTAAGGGAAATGGGGTGGAGTGGAACTATATGGGAAAGGGTGTTCAGTGAAGGCCTTTGTGAGGAGCCGACATTTAAGCTGAGATTGGACGGCGGAGGAGCTGGTTATGGAAGAACTAGGGAGAAAGCATCCTAGGAGGAAGGCACCGCAAATGAGAGTTCCTCAGAACTTTGTACTTCCCTTCACTCACATGTGAATTTGGACAGTAATAATGACTATCACATAGGAGGGCTTTAGAGCTTGAATCAGATCAACCATATAAAGCATCTCTCCTACTATCTGGTTGATAGCACTAAACAAATATTTGTTAGTAATGTTATTAAGAATAAAAGTAGAACAAGTTGTTCTTTTTGGAAGGGAGACTTTAGTTCCAAGTATTTTACTCTATATACTGATGCAAATTTACTTTACTTACATGCTGTCAAATGAATTCAAACAAATTATTATTGGGCACGTACTATGGGTTAGGCAGTGTGCTGGATGGTGTGGAAGGCTAAAGAAATATTTAGGAACTAAGATCTCTTTTTTATATTCTACATTTTATTTCTGTTATTTATTACTACTTTGTCTCTCAATCTATTTTAGAAGCTGCTTCCCCAAGTGTGGGCCTGCACCCACACACACAATGCATACACTCTCACTCATGTATCTCTCCTTGTATTTTCCCTCTGTTTGGCTGCTTGGAGATTTGGTATACATGGCTTTTCTTGGGTGATGACCTTATAAATCATTTGACTCACAGTTGGTATTTCTGAGCATTTGAAATGCTCACGGCAAGAAAGCCTTCACATTTCTGAAAGAAAGGCTGTCTCAAGTACTGAACTTTATTGGAAAAGGAACCAGATGCTAACGGAAAATATAAATGTTATCCAAGAAAAGTTTTGCATTTGTATATTAAGAATAGTTTTTGTACCTAATAGCTACATGTGGCTACATTTCTTTTCTTGGAGTAGGTGTCTACTTCCAAGGAAATGATGACTGAAATGTTAGAAATGCAAAATTAATTAACACCTTGTATAGTTCATTTGGCTCCTGTGGATTCAGTAATGGCTTTATTTGTATATAACTGTGTCTGTTGCTTATTTTTGACAAGTTGGGACAAAATATCTGCTCTACACAATTTTGGGTTTCTGATGCTGCTGAGAATAACTGCAAGGATAAGAGGTAGTGAAAAGAGAATGAGAGACTGTAAAACATTATTGTGAGGGATTATGCTTTTGTTTGCCCTGATTATGTGTCCATCCTGGGTTTTTATTAAAAGTGAGAGGATATTTTAAGGTAATGGCTTTTTTTTATAAAAACAAAGTTAAAGAACAGGATTTATTCTAATTACAGTCTTTCAAAACGTAAAGATTGCACCCTAAGGATGTTTTTATAACTTGATTGCTAAAGACAGTGTCCTTCAATAATGTAAGAGTGATCTAAATAGACATCTGAAAAAAGGGCCTTGAAAGCTTACCTTCACTGTGTTATCTATTATTCACTTGTTCTTTTGTGTTCATTTTACTTGCCACTTTCCCTTGAGACAAAGCAGTGCCTAAACTATCCCAAACAGGAAGAACTATTCTTTAAACCTAAGTTTCCCCTGATAAAACACCGTTTGTTTTGTGTACAGAATAAAACAAAAGAACATTTTTAGTATGTAGTTGTAGAGCAGATTGCAAAACAAATTTCATCAAGTTTATAGCTTGGTGACTATACATTAAGAGTTATTTCTCCGATATGAGAATGACCTCTTTTTGTATGTGTGTATATATGTGTGCATGCATATAAATGTGTGCATGTGCACATAAATATAAATATATATGTTAATGTAGTATATTTATGTATGTTTAAATCTTGAAAAGGCTTACTGATTATTTGTAGGGTTTCTAAATTCTTTTTTTAAGTGGTATTACTATTAGATTTCCCATTATAAGTTGGAAATATTTGAGAAACTGGTTGGTCCACAAAGTATTGGAATATAATATTGTGAAATTTGAGGTGAATTATTGTGGGTAATTGACCTTGGGAATGCAATGTATGTTAAATCTGGTGATAGATCCTGAGAACATTATTAAAACACAAGAGAACAACTAGTGTTTATTTATTAATTCAACATTTATTTGGCACCTATCAAGTGCCAAATACTGTGCTAGGTTCCAGAGTAGCAAACTGCAGTTGCCCTGGTTTTCAGCTGTCTGTCACATATCCCCGCCTTCCCTTGATGTCAGCATCCTTTCTCTTTGCATCAGCTCCCCCCCTCACCTTTTGGTTCTGGTGGGGAATGGTCATAAGGCGATTTCCTCTGAGCCCACCGTGACAGGCATTTGACAGGTTGAGCTAATAATGGTACTTGGCATAGTGACAAATTCATAGATGAGCCTGTGACTCAGGGGGATTAATCTGTGGATGCTTGGGAAGAAAGGTTTGCTTTCCTTTAGAGTTGCTAGCCTGAGATCACATAACCCAGGGTGTATCAGTTAGTGAACTGCAGTTTCTCAAGAGTTTCTCTGTTAGGACTGGATTTCTATCTCTTGTAGTCAAAAGTCCCAATTAATAAAATTGTGGATGAAACCATATATAAAATATGGTTCTAGCCCTTTAAGTAATTCCATCTGATTTGACAGATTTATAAAACAACAGTTCCAATGTAATACGAAAAGCACTGTTTGTAGTATGTACACAGTGTAAAGGAACCAGACAGGAGAAAGAAACATGCCTTAAGGGGGTATGTGAAGGTTTCAGAGAGTGATATTTGAGCTGGGTGTTAAATTTTGTGTGGATAGTCACCAAGGCAAATGAGAGAAGAGGGCTTACTAAAACCAAAGAGATGGATAGCATGTAAAAACATAGAAATCAGAAAATACATGATGTGTTCAGGAGTTATAAGAAATTCATAAACTGTGAAGAGAAGTGGGTGAAAGATGCAGTTGAGGTCTGGCGGTGGAGTGGGTGGGTTTTGATAGAATTTGAAAGGTATGTACCTGTGGAAAAAAGATATGTCACCTGTCAAACTCACAGACATAACTTTAATATTGGCAATTTAAAAAAAAATCTCAATATAACAAAGACTTTAAAAATAGTTAACATTGGAGTTTTAAAAACCTCTCAGCATTCCCTTGCCTTCTCCTGTGTCAGTCAGGCTCAGAACTTTCATATGCCCACCAGAGTAATGAGTGAAAGGAAACTAGGAAGGGCAAAAAAGGACGAATTATAAATGATAGATAATTGGGGGAGTCTTAGTTCAGGCTGCTATAACAAAAATACCAGAGATTTGGTGGCTTATAAACAATAGAAATTTATTTCCCAGTGTTCTGAAGGCTGAGAAGTCCAAGATTAAAGCACCAACAGATTCAGCGTCTGGGGAGAGATTGCTTCTTGTTTCACAGACAGCTGTCTTTGGGCTGTTCTCATGTGATGGAAAATGAGAACTCTGGTCTCTTCAGCTCCTTTCAAGAGCACTAATCCCATTCATGACCCTCATGACCTAATCATCTCCTAAAGGCCATGCTTCTTAATACCATGACATTGGAAGTTAGGGTTTCAACATATGAATCTTGGGGGGGCCCAAACATGTAGTCTATAACAGACTATCTTTAGAAAAGTGAAAGAATGGAAAGAAAAAGAGAGAGGGGGAAAAAGCATCAGTGGAAGCTGAATTTTAAGAGTTTTTGAGGGTTTTAAACATATGAGCCTAGAAGCTAGAGACCAGAGACTGTAGGTAGCTATATTATGTTAGATAATGAAAAAATATTGGGAAACTGTATTTAATACCATTGCTGTGTGTTTTGAATGGAAGTTTCCCTTTGCTGCCTCTTCTGGAGATATTAATAAATATTTTTCAATGATTTTCTTTCATTGTTATTGTATATATGTTTCTTTTGAATGGGACACCTGATAAGGCTGTCCAGTTTTTATCAGCTTATATAAAAATAAGAGACTTCTCTACATATCTTCAGTTGAGAAAATGTTAAGTATACATTTTAAATCTTTAGCTTCACAGGGCTAATTATATAGAAGTATGTGTGCTTAATTTTATGTGCCAGCCTGGGTAGGTCACAGCACCTTGATGTACTACAAAGGTATTTTTAGATGAGATTAACATTTAAATCAGTAGACTTTGAATAAAGCAAATTACCATAATGTGTTGGGCCTCATGTAATAAATTAAAAGCTTTAAGAGGAGAAAAGAAATGATATTCCCAGAGGACTTGTGTATTTTCTTCAGTGCCTCCATTCTAAGCTCAGTCCTCTTGATCTTTTAACTCTGATGGTGAGAGCAATCAAGATGAAAATTCCAAGGAAAATCTCTGTAAAGTAACATGGGAATTGTTCTTTCCTAGTTGCTGGTCTAAGCACCTTCTGAAGACGGAACCTCTTCTGAGCAGAGAGTAGAGTCAGGCCCATCTGAACAAATTGGAGAAGATAGAATCAAAATAAGGTGAGTCCAAAAATGAGGATGAATCCCAGGGGAAGGAGCTACCTGAATTAAAATGAATTAAATGTCTTACCTCCAAAAAGAAAAGTTTCAACTCTTGACATTAGCACATTATTCCGAAAATGCCATTGTTTTAATCCTAATAACCATAAATGTTTTTCTCAGGTTCAGAGTTTATTGGTGGGTTCAGGAGTGTGGGAGAAGGAAGGTGTGCATTCCTTAGAGAATCCAAGATAAATTTTACATGCCTGGAAAACTCAATATGTATTATCTGCTTTCCTAAAAATTCCATGATTCTGTTAAAGTTTTAAAGTTTCTTCCTATCCACAACAATTTTTTTCTGCCTTGCCTTTTACTATAATGCTCCTTAACAACATTGATCATATAGAATGGTTGGAAAGAATGTAATTAATTTAGGCACAGGAATAAATATTAAGCATACTTCCTGAATTCACAGAAGAGTTTAAAATTTTTTTAGACAGGGCCCCTGGATGGCTCAGTCAGTTAAGCATCTGCCTTTGGCTTAGGTCATGATCCCAGGGTCCTAAGATCAAGTCCCACATCAGGCTCCTTGCTTGGCAGGGAGTCTGCTTCTCCCTCTACCCCTCCCCCCTGCTGTGTGTTCTCTCTCTCTCTCATGCTCTCTCTCACACTCTCTCTCTCAAATAAATAAAATCTTGAAAAAATTTTTTTAGACAGTGTTTCTAGTCTTTTAAGAAGCTCAGATCAATAAGCTAACATTACCAAGTGTCTGAGATAGTTGTTAGGCATATCCAAGGCTATTTAATAGATATATTTAAAACACAAATATAAAGCGTTATATAAACTCTGTGTAATTTGTGGTAATCCAGCTGGATCCAGTATTAAAGAGTAGAAACAGACCGGCAAAGAGAGCTAGCTTTCCAGAAGTTTACATTATTCACCTTATATCTAGTACTGCACTTAATACAATCTTATACTCAAATTAGCATTCAGATATTTTTGGAATGAAATTTTAAAACAAAAAACCAAAAGGTTCACATTTCAAGACGATTCTGGTGGTTTTTATACTGACATGGACAATTATTTTCTGGATAAGCACTGTGTACACACTCAGGATTTTACAGCATGCTTTTTAATAAAATTAAAAGACACATTTTCTGTATTCCTTAATGATATCAGCAATCGATGCCTATTTGCTGTGTCTTCACTTTTGTAGCATCCACTCTGTGCCCAGCTGGGAATGAGTGGCTTTATTTAGGAATGTTCCTGAAGCAATGCCAAAACTTTATGACCTCTTTGAGAGAGAGGAACAGCAAATCTCCCTGGTATTATTATTAGGGAGGAATACTGGTGAAAAAAATGCAACAGACTTTCTTTTCAAAGAAAAAATAGACTTATAATTGGAAAAATGTTTGGGGTTGTTCTTGGGGCCCTGGGTGGCTCAGTCGTTAAGCGTCTGCCTTCGGCTCAGGTCATGGTCCTAGGGTCCTGGGATCGAGCCCCACATCGGGCTCCCTGCTCAGCGGGAAGCCTGCTTCTCCCTCTCCCACTCCCCCTGCTTGGGTTCCCTCTCTCGCTGTGTCTCTCTCTTCAAATAAATAAATAAAATCTTTAAAAAAAATAAAAATAAAATAAAACATTTTGTTCTTCCCTTTTGCAATCAATTCTCTAATAGACACACCATAAATACTACAAATAATTTGTAATATATGACAGTAATATAATTTAAATATATAATACAATTAAGGTAGATATAATAATCATTGCCAAGTTTTGAATGCAGACTGTGTATAGGGAAAGGTATTAGGCCCGTTATATGTGTCATTTTATTTATTGCCCTGAACAGTTATATAAAGTAAATTTTATTATCCACATTTAAAAGGTAAGGAAACTGAGACATAGTGAGGTTAAGTAATCTAGCTAGAGCGATAGAACTAGTAAGTGTATGGGGCTGGAAATTTGAGCCAGTTCTGTGATTCCAGAGGCTGTGCTTTTAGTTAGTAGCTATTTATCATCACCATCATCTTTGATGACTTGCAAAATAAGTAAATAAGTGAAAATAAATAAAGCAAAACATGAAACCTGTATGCAACATGATGGAAACATTTTTGCTTATCAAGTAAAAAGCAAGAGAATAAATTTTTCTGAAAGTAAAAGTTTACTGAATATGCCAGTATATAAAAACCCCCAAAAGCAAGTTCTGTAAACCTAGTTTTTGACTTTGGGTGCATTACTGGTTACTTTTCTTCTATTAGCAGCAAACCTTACTTTTAGAAATCTGGAAACAATGGGTACTAGTGCTAAGATTATAATGTTTGATAACCATTTTCTATTTTTGTTTAATTCTATTATCATCTGAACCAAAAAAAGAGTATTTTTCAGAAATATAAGAGTCTACTTTTATTAATTCATGCTTGTCTTCTAAATGGGATCAGATATTATATGTTGCTACTATATTTGAAATTCATGCTGAAATTCATTTTAGTTGGAATTATATGCAGTTGGCAAGCTAGGTACAACACTGTAAAGGGGTATTATATATAGACTTCCCTCTATCAGAACATACTTTAAATTCCACAGCAAATAA